CTCAGACAAATGTTGCTTGTTTTGTGCTGTTGCATTTTTTTTTTTTTTTTTTTTTTTTGCTTTTCCGTACGGGGGCGTACAAGACGTACAGGTTCCCGTACAGGTTCCCGTACGGATCCCGTACAGAAATAACCTGTACGTTTCGTACGAGAAGCCCCCGTACGTGTACTCTATGCAATGTAGTAGAGGGTTATTAATACAGGACGATCACTTCTCACAGTCACAGTGAGACTCCTCTCAGCCATATATGTATATATGTATGTGAGCGCAAACAGTCAAATCCAAAGTCCGAATCACCAAACATACCTGCAATCACATCAAAGATTCAACCAAAAAGTCAATGCACTACACGGGGTTGACTTCAACCATTCTTTGCACTCACAGCTCTTGCTTTCAACTATACAAGCTTCACTCTTGTGCAACTCTCAAAATAAAATACTAAGTATTTTTCTTTAAATGGTCATTCAAAATAAAGTCCGGGCGAAAATACAACAAAACAGTTCAAATAACAAGGTTAAAGCCTTTAGGTTGAGTGGCAGGAGTGAATTGGAGTTGAATCTTAAACCGACGAATCGGCAACCGACCTGTTATCAGTGATAACAGAAGATGATCCTTGTAGGATCAAGCTGAATCTAGCCCAAATCCTGAATCAATCGATCAAGAAGACCTGTAACACAAGACAGACCAATCCTCAAGCTAAAATCATAAGTGTATGGAGAATACAGCTCCATAACACATTTTCACCCAAGATCCTCCTACAAGCTAAGCCTAAGTCTGCTTCTAAGTCAGTGTCCAAAGAAAGGTAGTCCCTAACAGAGTCTCCTCTATATAGAATGGATTTCCATAATTGCCACCTGTCAAAATATAATCTAACTCCTTTAAAATAAGAAAATTTTGGCAGCGCTTCCCGTAGGAAAAGTGCCTTTCCAGAATTTCTAATAACTCATATATGAAACCAAAATTCAAACTCTAATTCCGAAAAACCAAATTTTGTCTAAATCCCTAAATTAGTAAAAATTTGGGCAGCGTCTCATTTCGAAAGGTACACTTCCCAGATTTATACTAAGTCATATATGAACTCAGAAACAAGATCTGAGTTCAACTAAAATAAAATATAACTAAATTTTTAGATTTGTAGAAATTTCGGTAGCGTTTCCCGTAGAGAAAGTGTTATTTTAAGATTTATACAAAGCTAAGTTCAGAATGTAAAGCGACTTTGACTTTCTCAAGGTCTAATTTTGTCTAACTCCCTGAATTAGCAAAAATTTGGGCAGCACTTCCTTTTGAAAATGAGGCTTTCCATATTTTTACTAAGCCAAAAAGTCAAAAAAACAGGACCTTGAAAAATATAAAATCTGACTAACTCCTTGGTTTTGTAGAAATTTCGGCAGCGCTTCCCGTAGAGAAAGTGGCTTACAAAAATTTATATAAGACCAAGTATAATAAAAGATCCTAGAAAATACAGAAATTAATATAAGTAAAAAAAAACTTAGCTCAGAAAATGCAGGAATTGAAACTAACTCCTATGGTTCTAGCATGTGGCGAGTAAGTAGAGCAACTACCTATCAACTGAAACTCAGACTAAGTAGTAGTCGCACTCAGTCACATGTAGGCCAAACCACAAAGGTAAGTACTCTCACCATCCCCAAAGTCAAAATTTTTAAACAATAGTTCATAGCCTCTCAATAATTTATTCCTTTATACCCAGCTGACTCTTCTCGGAAGTTCCCCTTAGGCTGGTCGAAGCAGCGAAGGGGGGTGCTGCACTACGGTGTCCGTGGCCAGGCAGTATAGGGAGAAAAGGGAAACAACATGTGCTAAGACTAAACCGAAGGGAGGTGACAACTCTCGTAAGGTGGAGGTAAGTTGTGCCTCGTGTAGACCCTATCTTGTCGTAGGGGCTTGTGAGAGGTATGGCTGGTGCACTCGGCCGGAGCGGCTTGCGAAAGCTCCATGTATATTCGCGACGAGGATTTTGACCAACTCCTGCGTGGCGCGACCGGGAGGGTCCTGCGATGCCTTGTGAGGTGCCGGACCGATGCGCTCGACAACGCCAGAACAGAGACAATAATAATTTTTTTTCTCAAGGGAATCAAGAGACAACTAAGCGATCAAAGAAATGCAATACCCTAAAATACGACAGACTAACCTAGAAAACAGCTAAAAAAGAGAGAGTTTGTTTTCGACTTTTTAACTGACTATGGTCACAGATACAACCAAGTTCAGTGAGAGCTACAATTTTTAAAGACAACAGTGACTTATACCAGGGAAAATCCTACCATAAAATACGAGCAAAGAGTCAAGATTGAAATCAAGCCCACCAAAGGAATCGAATTGGAAGCAACTATAGTGCAGACGAAGAGAAGCCGAACAGAGCGTAGTGTGGCGTCAGTGTGATAATAATCGAAGTCGATTTAAAGCAATAAACCAAAAGAGATGCCGCCCAACTAACCGACAGAGCTACTAAAGCGAGACAAAAGGGGGAAAACGAGCAGACAACGTAATATGACATAAGCGTGATGATAATCGAAGCAACAAACCAACAGAGAACCCAACTACAGACGATTGCGTTCGATTCAGCACAGCACACACAATTCCCAAGTCAAACGCATCCAAAACCAACGACCTAACGAGTACTGTAGGCCAAGTAAGAACATATGTCGAGTATAAAAGCAACCTGATATATAACCCTGCAAAATTACCGGAACTAACCTTAACTGTGCCTACATGCAAACAAGATGTGTCGAAGAAAACTTGCCAAATTACTAAGTTAAAACATATTTGTATACCTCACTGCGCCATTCCTGCTAGTACCAAGGCGCAGGGAAAACAAGACATGAAGTTAATGAGCATCAGACTGCTTTGCGACGTAAGTATGTCAAACGAGACTTAATCCTTGGACATGTCGGAGCGCTGTCACCCCAACCGCACGCTCTCCCACTGCGTCCAGGTGCGCCGCTCCGATTTCCATGCTTTTCCAAGTAAACGCGGCAGTCAGGATGGCGTGTCGTGAAGTACAGCGCTGGTATCGAGATCTTCTTAGATATGATGATTGGTATGGAGGTCAGGTGTGGAGCTGCCAGGATGCCATGGCGTAAGAGTGCAAGGCACTCCCTACCCACTCAAGGGCTAGGCTACGCCAGGGCACTGTCGCCATAGCTCTACACAACTATGGTGCCTGGCAGGGTAGGCGCCTCGTGAAAAGAGAACGTCCACATACCCCGACGTTACGTCCTACACGACCGCCACCGACGACCGGGCGCCGCCACCGCCGCTATCGCCGCTCCGTTAGCGCACATTTTTACGCGTTCCCCCCCATTAGTTTGTTTTACTGAACAACTTTTGCCTCAGGGTCACATCAAAATTCTTCACCAAATTTAAAATAAAAAGTAACATTTAAAATAGGGGAAACAACGCGCGGGTCACAAAAATGAGTTATAATTGCACTATGGGCTGAGATACAAGGGCTCGTTCGACACTCTTCGGACGCGTAAATCCCCCGAGGAAATCATTATTCCACTTATCCTCGGGGGAAAAATTGAAGAAAAAAAAATGAAAACATTTCCTCGGGGATTCCTCGGGCTACAACCATTTCGATGGGTTCCCCAAGGGACCTCCCGAGGTCCCTTAGAGGTCGACCATTCGGAAGAATCGGGGCGTCGACGGCAACTCTGCCGACGACAATTTTCTACGCAGCTGGTCCATTGCTGTTCCTAGCGGCCCATGGATGGACATCTTCGGTCGGCAACGGTCAGCATCATGGAATTGTCCGCCAACGATCCCCTTTGGCGGTCTGCCGGCCTCCGCGACGTCGAAAAGAGGCTACCTTGCGCCGCTGCCCTTGACCCCGAGCGGGAAGGCGCCCAATGGTCGGCATATTCGAATACTTCAGCCAGCCCTCGCTGTCCCCTTTGCATAGTGTCTTCCGCGACGGAATACGTTACCCTGCTTTTATCGATAGTTGCGATCGACTGTTTGCACCACTGTCCATCGCCGTTTTGTGGACGTCCACTGTTGTCTTCTAGTTGTTGTCCTCGTCCACGTGCCTTTCATGATTGACGTCTTTCGGAGGCTACCGCTGTTGGTGCTGGTCGTCCTCTTGCTCCTCCTCTTAGTTGTGTTCCACGTGTGCATCCTCGGCAACATTCCACGACGTGCCTGCAGAAGACGGTCTTTGAAGAAGGACGTCAGGATGGAGGGGCGCAAGGTGATTTGCAGGTCTGCAGGGGAGCAGGGTGGTGGGCAGCGGTCTAGGCAGAGCCCGTCGAGGAGTTCAAGACCGTCGGAGCGGTCTGGGTACGTGCACCTGCCACCGCACTTGCAACCTTTGTCGGACACGTCCGACGAGGAGGCGGATGACAGACGGTCACGGACCGTGCCGCTGGGAAGCAGGTCCACCCAGGAGTGGGCGACTACAGAGGTGTGTGGAAGCCGCGACGGCTGTTATGGCCACTCCTACACCAAACTCCTCCAGCAGGGGCTCAGCGGCGACGAAGGCGATGGCGGCGTGAATTTGTCGTTCGGGTTGTGTAGCGGGAGGTCGTCGGCCGCCTCGCGAACGGTCATCATCACCCCCCATCCCGACGACGACAGGGGGCAAGTGATGGTTGTTGCGCGATCATTGAAGTCTCCAACGCCGGTCTTGGAGGCGTCGGGGAATAACAGGGATCCTCTGAGGCAGCAATTCCAGTCGCCTTTTGTGTCAAGGGGTGCCTCCGCTCGCCCCCAGTGAATGCAATCTCTGTCTTCCTTGTCCGTTGGTTCGAGTGCAGCCCGCCGTCGTGGTGAATGCGGGGAGACGGATTGTGGCATCGCCGATCTTGGTGATGCACGGGACGGGAGGGAGGTGTGGGCAGAACACGGACGGGAGCTGCAGTCGGGGTGGGAGGAATCCATAACTCGGGGGGTGCAGCGACTACGTGTGGGGGAAAAGGAAAACGACAGCGACGCAACAGTCATGGACGTGGACGATCAAGAGTGGAACGACAACGACAGCGAAGGTGGGGAGGAGGACGCAGGCTACATTTCCCCGTTCAAGCAAAGCAGCATGGGAGGGAGGGGCGGGAAGACGAAGGCGTGTGGCCGCAATGGTCGTCAGGGGGAAAAAGCGGCGGGGAAGGGGAGCAATGCCGAAGGCGACCTTGATGCGGAAGGAGGTCATCATTTCTGGTCCGCCGATGACATTATAGCCCTCATCCGGGCGAAACGTGACCAGGATTCGCATCTGCAGGGGATGGGTCACGCGTACGCTCGGATGCAGTTGCGAGAATGGAAGTGGTTGAATGTGGCGCAGAGGTTGAAGAAGGTGGGCGTGAACAGAGACGCAGATCAGTGCTGGAAGAAGTGGGACAATTTGATGCAGCAGTTTAAGAAGGTTCATCACTTCTAAGGCTTGTCCAGGAAACAAGACTATTTCCAATTTTGGGAAAGGAGAGGACGTCGAAGGGCTTCAATTTCAACATGGATCGCGCTGTTTACGACGAGATACTGGGGTCGACCGCCAAGAACCACACCATAAACTCGTAGAACGTCGCCGACACGGCTGCTCTGGATGGTGTGCGTCTGTCGTCCGCCTCTTCTAAGGATCCTGAATCTGTGGGCGATGGGGACAGTGGTGCACGACACGACGACAACGACGACGGGTCGACGAAAGGTTCTTCTCAAATGATGGGTAGCCCTGACAGTTTCAGCAAGAGGAAGAGCAAATAGGCAGCAAACTTTGGAAGCGGTGACAAAATGCATGGAGAAACACAGTGCGGTAATGGCGTCGACGATGGAGAGCAACAACAAGTGGCAGTGCTCCATCCGAATACAGCAGTGCAAGGCGTTGGAAGCGAAGGTTGAAGTGCAGAAAAAACACTACGCAGCGTCTGACGAAGTGAGCAAACTGATGTGTCACTCGCTGCTGGAGATAGCGAAGGCTATCCGCGAGCGTTAGAGTTTGTGTCGCCTCTGTTATGCGCATTGTGGCTTCCATGGATACGGTCGACGTGAAGGTGAGAGTCTTTTCGTCGTCGATGTAGCCGTCACCGGGCCGTCGTTAACGTGGCGGCTCCCAATTGGCCGTGCTGGCCAGGGAAGTGGGTGGTGGTCCAATTGGCTGGATGTGTCGTCCTGTGGACATTGACGTTTGGTTTTTTATTTTTATTGGTTTGTCGTAGGTTTTTGCCGTATGGCGGGACAGATAATTCTGTCATCTTTGAATTTGAATTGGCGGTGATGAAGTGCACTATGCACTTTCCTTTTTTAAATGACGATTTGAATTTGCTTCGTCTCTCCCCTTTTCTATGTATGTACTTCTCTCTCTCTCCCTCTGTCTCTCTGTTCTCGTCTCTTCCCCCATCTCTCTCTCTCTCTCTCTCTCTCTCTCTCTCTCTCTCTCTCTCTCTCTCTC